AATATAGAATTGACTGCGAGAACAGAATTAATCATGGCATTGAATTTGGCAAAGAAAAAGGCATGATCAACAAAGGAGATTCCATTGTTGTTATTTCGGGATGGAAATTCGGTGGGTGGATTCCCGCACATCCAATTTTTTGTTCTGCTTAGTCCACTTTTAATGGCCTCTTTAGGTACCGGTTTCAACAACACTGTACGTGTCATCACTGCGTCCTAATTTTCTTTTCTGTATTCTGTCTTTTCATCTAATACTTTGTCACTTGCATGCTAATCGGATTAAATAAACGTTTAGCGGACTAGCAGCAGATCCAGAGTTGTTATGTGTGACTATCTTCCTTTTGAAATGGCTTTCGAGGTGGTTAACAACTTTCACCGGCCCACCTTTTGGCGGATTCTCCCTCTTCAGAAGCTAAAAGGGAATTCGAGTTGTTAACCATTCCACCAAATATCCAGCTTCCCTGCTGTACCTTTGACGCCGTCTAATTTATTACGCATTCCGAGGGAGGTGAAAATACCGTACCTTATCACATACATTTGCTCTTGGCCAGATGATGATTTGTCGTCAGTTTTTGAGCAAATTACACAGCGGCGAAGACGTCAAAAAGTTTTGTTCAAGTCAGGGCCTGCATCAGGGCACATCATTGGTTGAATATTTCGGTCGAGTCCGTACGACCCCCTCCCCTTTTTCAAGGGGCTGGTACGACCCCCCTCAAGCCCTGTGCCCTCATCGGGCTGCCGAACGGGAGGGGGGAGGGGGAGGGAGACGTTATTAGCACATGTGAAACGGGAAAAGCCGCGAGAAAATATGACCCTCGAATTTTCCCCAACTTCCTTTCACTTTTTCCAAAATTTCCCGAAAACTTCCCTACTTACTTCCCTACTTTTTTCCAAAGATTGCGCTGTCGAGCGGGAGGGGAGAGGAGTATATAGTACGCATGATACAGAGAAATCACGAAAAGTCAACCACCTCTCCCAGAAGGCCCAGAAGACCAGAAAGCGAATCCTACTCTCCCTCCCCTCCCAACCAGAGCACGCCATCGCGTTGTGATCATTTTCTGAAAATTACGACCCCCCTAATTCCATACTAAAATACGACCCCCTTTTTGGGAGTTGGTACGACCCCCCTTTGTGGTGTGAGTTGTAAGACCCCCACTCGACCCGCCCCTCTGTCTTGCTTGCATCGAACCGAGCCGTTGAGCGGGGGGAGGGGGCCGGGGGGGGCGGGTAGTACACTTTTCCCAAAATTTTGCTGTCAAGGAGGGAGCGGGCAGGTCAGAGGATGGTCCGTAATTAAAACTAATATGATATTGCTGCACGACTGTGAACTAGTAGTGGCGCCCATTGAACTGCACCAAATACGACCCCCGCCCCTTTACGCGTCCGTGAGAACAAGAGAAATCAATTATCAGAAAAATTTTTCCTCTGCGCCAGATCACGACCCCCCCTCGCGGTGTCAACGAGCCCCCCCCCCCCTTGTGTGATCCACAACGATGACGCTCCTGCTCCCCAACAACGCCAAGTTCGACCCCCTTTACAGCTTCCGCGACCGAGAAAAATCTACTATCAAAATTCAGCTTTCTCAGCCTAAACGCGCCCCCCCCATCCCTGCCCGTTGGGGATTCCCCAACACGATCTCGCCTGCTCTAATCTACTAACTAGGGATGGTCGTCAGGTCGAAGTGGCCGTTTGTAATGAGACCTAGACCACTAGACGTATTTTCAGACGCTGATTTCAAATCTGCATTCCAAATTGAAGCGAATTCTGTCTCGTTGGAACGGCCAGTCTCATGAGCGGGTCGTTTGGCTGAAGCGGCGCGGGGTCGGCGGCAGTTGCCAGCCAGCGGGCATGAGTAACCGGGATGCAGCGCCTCATCCAACGGCGGCGGTGGCACAGAGGTAAGAGTCTAGGTTCATGGGCACACGATGAAGGTTCGGATCCCGAGAGTGTGGTTTGTTTTGCATTCCGTGGAGGACGTCCTACGACTATGATAAGCACTTCAAGCGTTGATGTGACCACATTTTTCAACTGGGGCTGGGCGATCAGTGTGATCTACATCTTATGGGAATAGATCAAATCATCAATAGTCTGTGACATTACGGGATGCGACAAGATCTTTTTTATTCGTTGTTCTCATTGTGAGCAACTTCTCTGTTTTGACCACTTTGTATTAGGGTATCATATTTGCTCATGAGGTGAAGGAGTCATTTTTTTGCATAGCATTATTATCGTGTATGATTTGAAGAATGTAATTCCCATAACTATAAGATGTATATCACACTGATCGCCCAGCCCCAGTTGAAAAATGTGGTCACATCAACGCTTGAAGTGCTTATCATAGTCGTAGGACGTCCTCCACGGAATGCAAAACAAACCACACTCTCGGGATCCGAACCTTCATTGTGTGCCATTGAACCTAGCTTTACACGTTGAAAGCACGCCATCCCGTCCGATCTGGCAAGTTAAGCAACGTTGGGCCTGGTTAGTACTTGGATCGGAGACGGCTTGGGAATCCCAGGTGTCGTAAGCTTTTGCTGTTCACACCTAGAATTCATAACACAGAAGCAAGGAACACTCAAAAAAAGTTCACGACCGCATACTTCACATTTTCCATCTCTATTGCCTCATAAGTTGCTTACTGAATCTGAATGTGACCCCTATTCGAGACTTATATGGCTGTGACCTTGTTACAATACCGGGGCGTCCATATTAGTCTAGTCCGACCCGCCCCCTCATCAGATTCATCTAATGTTTTCCCAGCCACGGGCCTAGGAACACGCATACCCTACCCATGATCTAACTACACGTCCACCCACTACACTGTGGATACTTCTGCACTGATGTGGATATTTCCGCACTGGTGCGGAAATATCCACATTTGCCTTACCCTCAGCATCGCTTACGGCCATACCACGTTGAAAGCACGCCATCCCGTCCGATCTGGCAAGTTAAGCAACGTTGGGCCTGGTTAGTACTTGGATCGGAGACGGCTTGGGAATCCCAGGTGTCGTAAGCTTTTGCTGTTCACACCTAGAATTCATAACACAGAAGCAAGGAACACTCAAAAAAAGTTCACGACCGCATACTTCACATTTTCCATCTCTATTGCGACTCATCAGTGCTCTAATGAACAGAATGCTGAGACCCTATTCGATGACTTATATGGCTGTACCTTGTACAATACCGGCTCCAGTATTAGCTAGTCGACCCCCCCCCCCTCATCAGATCATCTAAGTTCCAGCCACGGGCCTCGAGGAACCGCATACCCTGACCTGAGTCTAACGACACGTGACAGGCCCACTACACTTGTGGATACTTCTGCACTGATGGGATATTTCCGCACTGGTGCGGAAATATCCACATTTGCCTTACCCTCAGCATCGCTTACGGCCATACCACGTTGAAAGCACGCCATCCCGTCCGATCTGGCAAGTTAAGCAACGTTGGGCCTGGTTAGTACTTGGATCGGAGACGGCTTGGGAATCCCAGGTGTCGTTAAGGTTTTGACACTGTTCACACTAGAGAATTCCATTTTAACACAGACGACAAGGAACCCACTCAAAAAAAGTTCACGACCGCATACTTCACATTTTCCATCTCTATGCGACTCATAGTGCTTACTGAACAGGATGTGACCTATTCGATGACTTATATGGCTGTACCTTGTACAATACCGGCTCCAGTATTAGCTAGTCGACCCCCCCCTCATCAGATCATCTAAGTTCCAGCCACGGGCCTAGGAACACGCATACCCTACCCATGATCTAACACACGTCCACCCACTACACTGTGGATACTTCTGCACTGATGTGGATATTTCCGCACTGGTGCGGAAATATCCACATTTGCCTTACCCTCAGCATCGCTTACGGCCATACCACGTTGAAAGCACGCCATCCCGTCCGATCTGGCAAGTTAAGCAACGTTGGGCCTGGTTAGTACTTGGATCGGAGACGGCTTGGGAATCCCAGGTGTCGTAAGCTTTTGCTGTTCACACCTAGAATTCATAACACAGAAGCAAGGAACACTCAAAAAAAGTTCACGACCGCATACTTCACATTTTCCATCTCTATTGCGACTCATAGTGCTTACTGAACAGAATGTGACCTATTCGATGACTTATATGGCTGTACCTTGTACAATACCGGCTCCAGTATTAGCTAGTCGACCCCCCCCTCATCAGATCATCTAAGTTCCAGCCACGGGCCTAGGAACACGCATACCCTACCCATGATCTAACTACACGTCCACCCACTACACTGTGGATACTTCTGCACTGATGTGGATATTTCCGCACTGGTGCGGAAATATCCACATTTGCCTTACCCTCAGCATCGCTTACGGCCATACCACGTTGAAAGCACGCCATCCCGTCCGATCTGGCAAGTTAAGCAACGTTGGGCCTGGTTAGTACTTGGATCGGAGACGGCTTGGGAAAGATTCCCCCACGTGGGGTGGGGGTGGTGGTTTTGTTAAAAGCTTTTTTTTTTTTGCCTGCTTCACACCTGGTAGAATCAGAACACAGAGCCAGAGGAACACTCAAAAAAAGTTCACGACCGCATACTTCACATTTTCCATCTCTATTGCGACTCATAGTGCTTACTGAACAGGATGTGACCTATTCGATGACTTATATGGCTGTACCTTGTACAATACCGGCTCCAGTATTAGCTAGTCGACCCCCCCCTCATCAGATCATCTAAGTTCCAGCCACGGGCCTAGGAACACGCATACCCTACCCATGATCTAACTACACGTCCACCCACTACACTGTGGATACTTCTGCACTGATGTGGATATTTCCGCACTGGTGCGGAAATATCCACATTTGCCTTACCCTCAGCATCGCTTACGGCCATACCACGTTGAAAGCACGCCATCCCGTCCGATCTGGCAAAGTTAAGCAACGTTGGGCCTGGTTAGTACTTGGATCGGAGACGGCTTGGGAATCCCAGGTGTCGTAAGCTTTTGCTGTTCACACCTAGAATTCATAACACAGAAGCAAGGAACACTCAAAAAAAGTTCACGACCGCATACTTCACATTTTCCATCTCTATTGCGACTCATAGTGCTTACTGAACAGGATGTGACCTATTCGATGACTTATATGGCTGTACCTTGTACAATACCGGCTCCAGTATTAGCTAGTCGACCCCCCCCCTCATCAGATCATCTAAGTTCCAGCCACGGGCCTAGGAACACGCATACCCTACCCATGATCTAACTACACGGATCTTCACCCATACTCTCACTGTGGGATACTTCTGCACTGATGTGGATATTTCCGCACTGGTGCGGAAATATCCACATTTGCCTTACCCTCAGCATCGCTTACGGCCATACCACGTTGAAAGCACGCCATCCCGTCCGATCTGGCAAGTTAAGCAACGTTGGGCCTGGTTAGTACTTGGATCGGAGACGGCTTGGGAATCCCAGGTGTCGTAAGCTTTTGCTGTTCACACCTAGAATTCATAACACAGAAGCAAGGAACACTCAAAAAAAGTTCACGACCGCATACTTCACATTTTCCATCTCTATTGCGACTCATAGTGCTTACTGAACAGGATGTGACCTATTCGATGACTTATATGGCTGTACCTTGTACAATACCGGCTCCAGTATTAGCTAGTCGACCCCCCCCCCTCATCAGATCATCTAAGTTCCAGCCACGGGCCTAGGAACACGCATACCCTACCCATGATCTAACTACACGTCCACCCACTACACTGTGGATACTTCTGCACTGATGTGGATATTTCCGCACTGGTGCGGAAATATCCACATTTGCCTTACCCTCAGCATCGCTTACGGCCATACCACGTTGAAAGCACGCCATCCCGTCCGATCTGGCAAGTTAAGCAACGTTGGGCCTGGTTAGTACTTGGATCGGAGACGGCTTGGGAATCCCAGGTGTCGTAAGCTTTTGCTGTTCACACCTAGAATTCATAACACAGAAGCAAGGAACACTCAAAAAGATAAAGTTCACCGTACCGCATTACTCTCAGCATTTTCCATCTTATTACGAACTCATGTAGTGTGTGCTTACTGAACAGAATGTGACCTATTCGATGACTTATATGGCTGTACCTTGTACAATACCGGCTCCAGTATTAGCTAGTCGACCCCCCCCTCATCAGATCATCTAAGTTCCAGCCACGGGCCTAGGAACACGCATACCCTACCCATGATCTAACTACACGTCCACCCACTACACTGTGGATACTTCTGCACTGATGTGGATATTTCCGCACTGGTGCGGAAATATCCACATTTGCCTTACCCTCAGCATCGCTTAGGCTACCTCTGTGCCACCGCCGCCGTTGGATGAGGCGCTGCATCCCGGTTACTCATGCCCGCTGGCTGGCAACTGCCGCCGACCCCGCGCCGCTTCAGCCAAACGACCCGTCATAACTCCGTTCACAGAATCGCTTTGCAAATTTGGAATGCAGATTTGAAATCAGCGTCTGAAAATACGTCTAGTGGTCTAGGTCTCATTACAAACGGCCACTTCGACCTGACGACCCCACTCCCGCCCTGTAAGTCCCGAGCAGAACGTTTTTGGGTACCGCTGTCTACTAGCAGTCTCAGATGACTTTCGCAATTCTCCAAAATCTGTACGATTTGGAAACAATGCTCTGAGCAAATGTCGAAACCACTGCCAATATATTAACACAGCTGCATTTGGCTTACTTTCGCGCTTAGTCGCCATCTTCATGGCCTGCAACGTCAGAAATGAGATATATCTTCGCTGAGAGCTGATCCAGAGTTGAAGGCAGTTTACGCTCTCATGCAGGCATCTCTGCTTATAAATCTGACTGCGTCATCAGTCGGCTAAAACTGTTCCTTTTTCGCGTCATGACAGGAAGTAACGAAAGGCGGTAGCCTTCATGAGTGGCATTCTCACGCCTCCCTAGTTGCCCCACCCACCAAAACTCGAAGGCTATTTTATGTCACCAGTTTAGTTTTCGTTTTTACTTCACTGCTAGATGGTTACTTTTTTATTTTTCCTTCCCTAGAGATTCACTTGGCGACTATGGATTCCTCGCTGAACGCCACTACCCACAATATGCAATAGCACGACTGGACTTTGAGACCAGCTGACCACAAACTAAAGGTCACAAACTTTGGGGATGTACAGCCGACTTGATTTCGGGGCACCGCTAAAATGATTCACCGGGCTGGTCCGTGCTTTAAAAGACCATATTCGTTGACATATGAAGCGGATTCATCATTTTTCACTTTCGAAGGGATCCCTTTTCGTCCTTTCCGCGTAGTTTCAAGATTCCAATAAGAAAAGGGGCACGGTGTGCAGCTGTGGTCCTGTTCGTCGTGTAACCTGGAACAGTTTTACCCACCAAGTAGTCAGGAGAGGTCTTTTGTCGATTGGTACCGATTGGTCATATTCCACGAGTGACCAACTAAGGTTTGACATTCCTTTCTGCGAGTTAACGAGTTCCGCGGCTCTTATTTTTAGTGGCAGCTTACTCCAATGCCTTAGTCGTGTGTGTGTGTGTGTTTGTCTGTGTGTTGCAGCGCCTTGAAAACGTTCAGCAGCAATCGAGAACGAACTGTAAGCTTGTGATCGGGCCGAGAACCGAGCAGGCTCAAAAGTTCGCGCAGTATGTAGCGATCTCCACCTCTCTCTGCGACTCGAGCCCCATGAAAGTTCAATTCAACCCTTCCCCTCTTTTGGGAAACGGTTGCTATGTATACGAGATTACTCACACTTGGACAGGCACACTCTGAAGGACGGAAGATTTCGTTGGAAATATTTCCTTGCTCACCAATTGTGGGTGGCACCTCAGCCATCTGGACCGTGCTGCATTTGAAAGGATGACAACTTAGGATTTTTTTTCTACAATAACGAAGCTGTAGTCTTAGCTGAGCGACACTTTGCACTGGTCTCAGGGAACATGAACTATGAATCCTTGGTTCTTCATCATGTAATCCTACAGCCACCACAATGACAAATCCCCGCTCTGAACAATGTGGTGGAGCTCAATCCCCAACTGGTTTATCTGCGCAGTTCCTTGCCGTAGCTGCCCGTCTTCTACCATCCAGTTCGCTCTTGGTCCACAGCGAAATCTCGCTTTAGTCTTGTTTTTACCTAAAAGACTTGTTTCATGTAAACCTTTTTCTGCTGCTATTTGAACTGCTACTTCATTTATTTACCTTGTTTTTTCTTTTCTTTATTTCTATGGAATTTTGTTATATTAGGTTGGCGGGAAAAGTTCTGTCACATTTTTCAAATTAGGATTTCTTCTATAGAGAGGCGCTCTCTCTCTCGCACTCGCTTACTCAGGGTTCTTGCCAGTTTTTCGAGACACCTCCACGTATCAGTCGCTTTCACAATGCCAGGCCAGCCGCGACGCCGCAAAGTTGGACATCATCTCAATCTTGACTTTAACTAGGGTTATGGAGGTTTTCTTGTCCATATAGCGGTTGAGTACGGGAGCCAACTCGCAGTTGGAACCGGAAGGTTCGGGCTATAGCAGTGCAAGGGGAGAGCCTTCAGCTCGATCTGCACCATAGGATACGCGCTCGCAACCGCTTTTTCGGCGATGTTGGGCTGCACCATCACGGGAAGACTGGCCTGTGCGGTACAAATTTTTCCTTCTGATTGATGGTTACGCTTTGATTTTGCTGCTCTGGCGTACGCGTGGTTGACGAGGAAGCAGCTTTCTTCATCAAGCAATTTCGCGGACGCGCAGCTCACCTAAATCTCGTAGTATCACAGGTAACCCAAACTTCACTTCGTCATGTGGGCTCCCACTTTCAAGCATGAGCGTCGTGGAAGGCTGTCCACGACGATTGAAGGCATCGTCCTTATTCAGCTCCATTATTTTGGCATCTGCAGCTACCATGCTGGCTTCAGGGTGGTGGAAGAAAGAGTTTGAGGAAGCGCTTGGAGGGGTCGGTGCCGATGGTAGCGGATAACATCCTTGTCCATATTGCAGAAGAAGAAGAAGCAGGAGTCAAGCGAGTGGTACTAATAGAAAGAGCACTCCTTGATGTTGAAGTGCTCACATCACCGGTTACCCCTTTTCAGGTAATGGGCAAGTATTATATTTTGAGTTCGAAAAAGTATGACAGAACTTTCCCGCCAGCCCCTAGTAATTGTGGCTTCATCATGTCAATTATCTGGTTGAGCTTCACTTAAATCGTGTCTCTAATTCGCTCTTGACAGCTGAGGGAGCTTCTATCGCTCCGCTCTCTTTGATACTGAAAGCCTTGCTCAAACACATTGGAGAACAATTGTGCCGTCGCGTGTCTTACCGCGCAGCATTTCCATCGAGCATTCTTGAAATTAGAGAAAAACTGCGTGGGACCACGCAGTTTTCCCCTTTTTCGAAGAATGCGCATAAATGCTAGGGCGTTTATACACCAAAACAATTGAAGAAGACCAGAGTTTCAATGCAGAAGCTGGTAAGGCTTCGCTGTTTTTGTTTACGCTTTCAGATAGACCCTATTTTCATGCGTA